ATTAGAAAATCGCAAACTCGTTAAGCTTGTAACGAATTGTTTAAACTCGAATATGGTGTAGTCGATTGATCACTTTATTTACCACTTTACATACTTCCAATTCTTCACTTTATCTATATCAAAACTTGTATACTCATCTCTTCTCATCTCGATAGTGGAGTGTATAGCCTTACGCTTTGTACTCTGAAGAAACAGGAGGGGTGATCGCGCAGCGACCGAAGAAGCGGCCTTATCGAAGACAATCAATCCGAGGAATACAGGAGAGAGGTCACGAAGCGACCAAAGCTGGCCTTATATGAGATGACCCACGCGAGAAAGGGGGACAGAATGCCTTCCGGGAGGACTTGGAGGAAAAGCTGGCCCCTATTCAGGCGTCATTGACAAGGAGGAAAACCCGGAAAAACTCCCGCTGCCAGCTCGTCCGAGTGGGGCGCGAACCCCGATCGAACTCCGGTGTTTAGGGTCTGGTCACCATCATTAAAAACAAGTATACTTATAATTTAACATTTTACAATACAATTTTATTATTTGAAATTATTTGTGTAAATAAATCGAGACTCGAAATTATTGTCCTCCCTAAAACCCGAAAAAATACATTTTTCTTGATTTGTGAGTTTCGAAAATTCTTTAAAAATATTATAAAGACCATAAAAAAAGATTTAAAATAAAATTAATGTTTTCATTGTTAGCGCTCTTCAACAATACGTTTTGCACTCGATTGTTATAGAATTGTGTCGGCTTTTCGGCATTGAATTTTTTTAAAAAGACTTCAGCAAGGTAATTAATTGATTAACATTATGAAATGTTAAATTTAGAAGTTCCGACGTCCTCACGTCTATTATTTCGACAGATAGCAGAGAGGACGTGTTATAAAATGAGGCGCTTTCGAAATTTCTGTTATCCTGGTATCTTTCGTACAATATCTTGACGTGTTCCATTTCATATTCGAAAGTGAATATTCCGAAGTTAATCCCCGACAAAAAACAATCGATAAACTTTATCTCTTGTACATTTTTAACGTCCAAACATCGCATCAAACCAGAGTCAATCGTTTCCGCGCCGCACTTGATAGATAATATTTGGTCGAACATTTGAACGGATGAAAAGTTCTTTGATTCGTAGCAGCTGTCTGCCGATGAGGAGCAAGAAACATTCCCGAAATGTTGCCAAAACTCTTGACATGAATTTACCATTAGAAATAAAAATTGCGAAAAGATAACCCACCTCATCTCGTTCAATGAATCTTGTAATTACATCAACAGGAGAATCTCACAAGTACGATCCTTACAAATGAATCAACAATAAAACAGAATTCCGAATTATCTATGGTTAACTATTAAATATCGGTGGTTTATGGTCGATGGAGTGGGGAGATAAAGAGATGTGATGTGATGTGTAACTCCAGTGGGGTCGAACTTAATGACGATTTTACTCGTTATTAGCATTTACAATTTTTTCTAAAATTTATCCCCGGATCAAAGTTAAGCTTTTTGCAATTTTTTAATAGATAAAAATATAAAAAGGTGTTTTAATAAAGTATGATAAGAGATGGCGCCACCAAAATTTTAAGGGTTGAACACTTAACACAGGTCTGCAAAAAAATTTTTTCCAGATGCATGGAATATCTTTGCTGAATTATGTGTTTTAAAGATCGCAGATTCTAAAAATAACTTCCGTTACATCCCATCAAGTAAAGGTTTTTTGCAAAATAGAAACAAACTTTTGATAAAAACTCTTATTTATTACAATGAACTAAATATATATTTTCTTACAACTAGTCAACAAATTGTTCCTGATATTTATACACAATTTTAGGTCTACTCTTCTTCTTACGAAATCTTTTCTTCTTCTTTTTGATGCTTCTCTAAACTCGTTTCCGATTTCCTTCTCTGGTTTCTCGATCGAGCATCCAACAGTAGTCAGGTAACATATTGACATCCCATTTTCTTCGGTAACGTCTCTCGATATCACGGACATCCCGATGAAATCTTTCACCCTGTTCTTCATTGTAGGCTCCCAAGTTTTCAGGAAAATAGTCAATACGGGAGTGTAAGAAATGGACTTTTAAGCTCATCTCGCATCCTCGAGCGTCATACGCTTCTGCCAGCACGCGTTGTACAATGGTTTTGTAGTCAGGGTTCTTAGTGTTTCCCAAAAACTTATGCACTACATTCTCGAAAAAGTCCCGCGCTTCTTTTTCCTCTTCTCCCATTGTTTCCAAAAATCTGCTTTGTCTCGATCTGCAAGTTTCAATTTGAAATATGCAAATTAAACTTTCTTCGCAAACTTACTTATGTTTCTTTGTTGACTTTTCACCGCGTATTCTCCACAAACGTAACAGAAGCTGTCGGGAGAAATTACGCAACCTCCGCGAGCCATATTCCAGAAAAAAAAAATACAAGCGCAGTAGCGTTCGAATGCCGGATATAAACTGAACGTGGCATTAGATGGCCAGCGAGATACTGAACTTATTTAGCTTGTCGAAACACAATCTAATCCAACAGCGGGTTGTTTATATTTATTCCTAGTATCCCAGATAACGTGTCGAAACACGCTCAACATCGCCAATAGTATATTCACTACCAACTTTTAACACGTTTCTATACGATCGTGCGACCTTCCTTCTAACGCTAAAACTACTTAACCCTCATCCCCCTACCACTACTCTCTTCAACCATTAACATTTTCATTTATTTATTACTAAATCCAGCTATAATTGATAGAATTAATGCGAGAAGTCTTCGTTATAAAGCCATTTTTTTAAATAAAGAAAATAATAGTCTACTAAATTTTAACTTAACTAGGAATTTTACGCTAAATACAAACAAAAAGTTGAGTGTAACAAAAAAGTTGACGAGATGGAATTTTTTGGTTTTTTTTTCTCGTTTTTACCTGTAAGAAAATGTACAAAAATTCTACGCAGTTGTTTTTACTTTCAGACCTGTGTAATTACTGATTTATTTAAAATAGTTTTCCATTTATACAGTAAAGAATATGCCATTGTTATTTTATAAATAAAGGTCTTATTGTAAAGTGTGTATTTAATTACTTTTTTATTATGACGTCGTCGGTATGGATCGGTCATTTCCGACCTAAGTATTACGTATACGTGTTAAGTGGAATTAATCGGTCGTGTTCCGCCACAGATCGATGGCGACGTTTTGTACGACTCATCGGGATATTTCTTATTGATTCCGGTTATAATAAAAATTTAATAAACGAATACGAAATAATTAGCAATATTAACCGGATGTAATCAATTACTATTCTAACCACCTAAAAGGGGATTTTGGACTAATAAAACTTAATTGTAACGTCCTTCGCGTGTAACTTACGCCGGAGTTCGAGAATTACTCAGAAAATTAATTTTCACGTGTTTCATTTATATGCATTTCGAATGGAAATGTTTTTCCGATTCTTTTTTAGTCTACAAAGCATAATTTTTTAAAATAAATTTACAGTTAAATTTACAATAAAGATATTTTATTGATTTTATAACGCACAATAGATACAATTGACGATAGAACTAACACCGACAACCGATACCCTTCGAAATGAATCGCGGGAACAATTATCCCGTATGGCGTAACATCTTTTCGTATACGACGTCACGTATTATCATCCCGCTATTTAAGTTAATGAAATTATTATTATTTTTAATCGTTAGGTGAGGAAAGAATAGCCCTCGTGACGTCATTTCTAAATTGTCTAAATTAGAAACGGAATACTTTCACATTGCGACCGAGTGTAACATTCATTAACGTAGGCCTATAACAATTTATTTCAAATATATTATTTAAATGAACTGCTGACAAACATTTTTATCTGCTTTTGAAAGGAAATTTGAAATAATTTTAGGCGGATAAATCGACACTAGAAAGTCTCTGTGTTGTCGTATTCAGATTGTTAGCTCTATCGAATACCGGTTGACAAATATCTACATCGATACGTTCTTGAACTTCTAAATTCACATCGCTCGAGTCTGCGATCACATGTCTATTAATTTCTTATCTGTATCTTTAAAAATGTCACCCTTTGCCAAGTATCCATCTAATACGTCTATTTGTTTTTTTTTTACCGGAAGCGTATATTTCCTCTTTCCCTTGCACTCTTATATTGTATTCAAGTCTGCGTGACTGAAATATTTTATCTAAACTAAAAAGTCAATACGAAAGTAACTAAACACCAATTGTATAAAAGAAGCAAAGGTGAAGTCGAAATATAACTGAAGCATTTGCAATAAAAAAACTAATAGAATTTTCAAACAATGTACATTAAACACGAAATAATAATTTTTTTCATGTTATTTTCTGCAGAAAAGTTACTAAAATTACTGATAAAAATATTTTTCACTATTAGGCCTATATATTATTTACTCTGTAATGAAAATTGTAGGCAGTCTTCCTTCTTTTATTTGTTCAAAGCATAAAATACCATAAACAGCTATAAGTAAGTCGAATTACACAGGAATAGATAATATCAATAACAAAACGAATTGCAAGAGATTCTCCATAGAAAATATTAACTCTTATCGAAATATCGACGATCTGTTACACAGAATACAAATTTTGATAATAATTTTTCTGAATTATAAATTATTACTTACATTTTTCTACTTTCTGTATATAAACTATTGTTTTATTGACGAATCGATTTTGTGATTCATTTACAGATTTATTATCTAATTATTACACATTGTATAATATAATACTTAATCACAATTTACCACACAAGCATATAAAAGTAACATTTGTTACAGCATACTTGAAATAAGCAAAATTCATTTCTATACAAACAAATACAAAATAATAATAATTTATTGAAAAGTAGTAATTAAATTAATAAAAGTACTGTACATATGTTTGAATTGATGTAATTACAGAATTCGTCAAGTGTAAACATTGTAAAAAACCACTTTTTCTTCATTAGGCTTTGTCACTTTCCGGACATTTCTTTTTCTGCGATAATAAACAATCGAAACAATAACCACACCTAATAACATTAGCGAAGTAAGAATAGCCACTGCGATTTTCCATCCTAAAACAGAACTAACTTCGTCGGAAAACACGCATTTTGCACACGAAACATTTACTGAAAAAGCCAAATTATCTTCTAAAATTTGTGTGCATCGATCATTAGAAACAATTTCGGTGAAAGTCACAGAAGACGAATTTCTCGCGCAGAAAACATCGGAGAAATCTGCAATCTTCTGACTGTTTCTAAGCAACCATCCTTAGTAAAAAGCGAGAATTTGTTATTAATACTCGCTTAGTAAAAAGCGAGTAATAATTACATAAAGCACATTTGACAAGTGCTTTATGTAATTATTACTCAAATCGACAATCGTGGCATTCGGGAGGAGAACTTCGGGAATTCGGTCGATTCCCTTTCCGGAACAATTCAACATCACGAGATTATCTTGTGCAGAACAATCGCAATTCATCGGAAAGTAATTTCCTATGACTACGAAAGATGTATCATCCAGCAAATTTCTTTCTTCTCCGTAACATTTCGTCTTCTCTATATTTGGAAACATTTTCCTTGCGATTTCCCTATTTGATGTAAGGGTAAAGTTGAATTGCTGCAGTTTGTGATCACAAGTGATTTTATTATTATTTAAATGATAAATCGGCATTTGAAATCCGTATTTCCACTCATCCACATAAATTGTTCTGATTTTACAATTAGAGAGAAGAATTTTCACGTGATTTGGAGTGTAAATTGGCAATTTGACGGTTTCAAAATGATTATTTGAGAGAATCACTTCAGTGAAGTTGTATTCTGACCAATTTATCAACGGCCATTGTGTCAAACCCGCATTATATAAAGCGAGAGTACGCAGATGCTTGCTGCTGCCAAATGGATGCTCACCGATAATTTTAGTTAAATTGTTTTCAGATAGATCGAGATCCTTTAATTTAGTCAACGGGAGGAAGAGGTTTTCGTGTAAAAACGTCAGGCGATTTTCTGATAGAATGAGAGTCTCCAATGACGACAAATTCTGAAAAACATCTTCGGGAAGATTTTCTAAACTGTTTTTTCGCAACGATAACCATTGCAGTTCAGAAAGTCCGTGAAAAATTCCTGTCGGAAGTTTCGCTATTTTATTGAACGAACAGGAAAATCGTGTCAGCAGTTTGTTATTTTTCAGCAGATTTGGTGGGAGATGTTCAATTCGGTTGGAATTTAAAGAGACGATTTTCAAATTAATCAAGTCATAAAATACATCTTTTTCGAGTGAAGAAATAGAACAAAACCGTGCATAAAATTCATTCAAGTTAAACAGTTTCTTAAAGAATCCAGGCGGTATTTCTGATAATTGTCGGTTGTTAGTAATACAAAATGTCCTTAAGTGAGAAAGACCATTCAACGTATCACTGGGTAAATCTTTTAACCGATTCCAACCTAACTCCAAATATTCGAGTTTGACGAGATTTCTAAATACGAGTGGATGAACGGATTCAATGTCGTTGTAATATAAATCCAGTTTTGTCAAATTGTTAAGGTTATAAAATAAATCTTCGGGTAAAACTCTTAACTTGCCTTGAATGATGTATAATTCGGAAAGATTAACTAATTCACGGAAAGGTTTGTTGGGAAATAAAGTAAAGTTGTAGTTTTTGATGGTCAATGAAGTCAGCGACGAAACATTGCGAAACGTTACATTTAGAAGTTCCGACGTCTTCAAGCCTCGTATTTGGACAGATCACAGAGAGGACATATTATTAAACGAAGCGCTCTCGAAGTTTCTTTTATGCACGAATAGTGGGTACTCTATCTTGATGTGTTCGATTTCATACCCAAACGTAAATATTCTAAAATCAATTTCCGACAGAAAACAATTTCTAAATAATATCTCTTGTACATTTATAACGTCTAAACATCCCATTAAACGAGAGTCAATCGTTTCCTCGCCGCACTCGATGGATAAGGATTGATTGAATATTTCAACGGAGGAAAAGTTCTTTGATTCGTAGCAGATGTCTGCCGATAAGAAACCTCATCTGTTCCGACGAAAATTCTATTTCATTCGACACGAAGATACGCGAAACAAACAATAGTAAAACTGCGATTTACAAATATCTTACTGTTAGTTTACTACTTTTTTTCTGACTGACTGAATACACGATAATTTATGATGTAAGTGACACGAGGATCCACATTTCCGACAGAAATATTACGTATACACTTTTTAATTTCCTCGTTCATTTCCGCTGTAGTAATAAGAAAAATAACGGATTACGAAAAAGCTTTTTACGAATGATAAAATTTTTTGCACATTTATTACACGGGGATTGTTCGTTTAAACAAATTAATAGCAAAATATCATCTCTTTTCTTTCTCAAAGTCGTATTTTAATGGTGTTAATCAAATGTGTTATGTGAGACAAAAGAATGTTTCCGACTCCAGTTAAATTCTGGCGTAGAAAACACTAGTATTGTGTTCTATTCTAAAGACACATCGCACGTTTTTTATCAAATTCCTTTATTAGTTGATGGAAAACTTGCCATGTGTCTTTAGAATAGAACAAAATACTAGTGTTTTTTACGCCAGAATTATAAAACAAGACACGGTTTTAACAAACAAATTCAGTTAAATTATTGTAATAAAAATTTTATCATCGTATATACATTGTATTTGTTTTATATTCGTTCGAATCGACGTTTCAATCATATTACGACGAAATATAAAGTATTTCTTGCGATTATTGATTATTTTTTTCTCAAACTAAAGAGAAAATCAAAATGTTCTCTTTTGATACGTAAAAAAGACAGCAAAAAATAATTAAAAGCATAGAAATGATTTATTGCGTAAATGAAAGTTTAACCATTTGTTATATTTAAAGTATTAATGAAGTTAATAAAAATACAAATTAAATGCGAAACTTTTGCAAATAATTTATGAATATTTGAAAACTAAAAAATAAATTATATTTCGATTAAAAAACTTTAATAAATTGAGGTACTTTGCATCAAAACGATGAATTTTACGAACGAAAGGAAGGATGTTGAAGTTTGATAAAAGAAAAATACTGAGAAACAAAGTTTAAAACAAAACGGCAAACGAAAATAGATTAAAAGATAAGGAAATAATTGTAGTAGATGTTAAAGTACCAAATTAATACAATCGTATTCAGCCATTGTTCGTTTAACCATCTCTGGGAATATATGGATGTTCGTGTGTGAGAGGAGCGCGATTTTGTTTACCCTGTTTCGAGGTTAAATAATTAATAATCTTGCACTTTTTGTCCAGATTTTCTGAAATTTCTCAGGGAAGTTTGTGTATTATGGGGATTGATGCTATTAAAGTTTGGTGGTTAAAGATCGAGGGAATGGGGAATTAAAGGGAATCGTACGGTGTCTTGAGAAGGGTCGAATTTAATGACGGTTTTATTTGTTATTAGCATTTGTAATTTATTATAAAACCCATTACGACATTTAAAATTAAGCTTTTTACCATTTTATAACAATTAAAAATATAAAAAACAAATCATACAGTCTCCCTTTTATTTACAATGCGGTTATATTCCAGAAAAAAGACATTATATAAGTCAAAAATAAAAATAAATAGGTTTTACGCAAAATTATACAGTATGTAAAGTGAGTTTGGACTATCGTTGATTGTCATAGTCTAGTTACAAATGATCAGCATAACTGCCTTGCATATCTGAAATTCTCATTGATATAACAGCTTTCCTCTTCTCACCAGTAACAGGACACACAGCGGGTCATTTCGCAGACATAATAAATATATTGTAAAACACAAAATGATATTAAATAATCTCAAGATTGGTAATTGATGCATCAGAAGAACAGATTGAATTTGAATGTCTACTTTTCGTGTAAGACACAAATCACATTTTTTGTGTTACTAATTACAAGCAGATTAAATGTAGTATATCAATTTTATATATATAATATTATACTTTATTAAAAATATACTTAATGTCGTTTCGGTTTTTAATTTATCTATTTCCTTCGCTGTCTTTCCCACACTCTTCATATTTTAATAATTCTACAGCCGAAATTCTGGTTTACTGGAAGATGTAGAGTACAGGAAAGATAGCAGAAAAAATACAAAAATTAAAAAAAGATAAAATTATTATTAATGATAATACGAAATTAGTATGGCTGGATATAAAAAATATGCATCCGAGCATTACTAAAAAAGACATTACAAATGGTGGGAGTTTTATTCACACGGGAAATCATTTCTATGTCTCTTAATTATTTTTTGTCGTTTTTTACAATTATCAAAAAAGGTTATTTTAATTTTCTCTTAAGTTTGAGAAAAAAATAGGAATAATTCGCAAGAAATATTTTATATTTCGTCGCAATGTGAAATTTCACGCATCGAAAACATTTCCATTCGAACGAATACAGTTCATAATTATTTCATACAGTGATTAAATTTTTATTATAATAATTTAACTGGAGTCAAACAGAAACATTCTTTTGTATCACAAAACACATTTAATTAACACCATTCACATACGTCTTAGAGAAAGAAGAAAAATATTATATTTACAATATCAATTATTTAAACGAACAATTTCCGTGAAATAAATGTGCAAAACAATCTTTTTTATTTGTAAAATATTAACTTAACGTTCATCCGATATTGTTCCTTCCAATGCAACGGAAATACACAAGAAAATAAAAAAACTGTATACGTAGTATTTCCGTCGGAAATCGATGTCACTGAGGTCATAATTTATCGTGTTCTCAGTCAGAAAAAAGGAGTAATTTGTAAGTACACGGTTATACTATTGTGCATTTTTCATCGACTGTTTTTCAGATCTTCGTGTCGAATGAATTAGAAGTTTCGTCGGTCGAGATGAGGTTTGCTATCGTTTTGCAATTGCTATTTTTAGTTGTAAATTCTTGTCAAGAGTTTTGGAAAAGTTGGGAAAATGTTTCTTGTACGTCATCGGCAGATATCTGCTACGAATCAAAGAACTTTTCCTCCGTTAAAATATTAGATGATTTCTTATCCATCGAGTGCGGCGAGGAAACGATTGACTCTCGTTGGATGAGATGTTTGGAGGTTAAAAACGTACAAGAGTTAACATTTAGAGATTGTTTTCTGTCGAAAATTGACTTTGGAATATTCACGTTTGGACATCGAATCGAACACGTCAATATATGGTATCTATCAATCCTGAATGAAAGAAACTTCGAGAGCGCCTCGTTTAATAACATGTCCTCTCTGCGATCTGTCGAAATACGAGGCGTGAAGACATCGGAACTTCTAAATGTAACGTTTCGCAATGTTCCATCGCTGACTTTATTGACAATTGAAGGCTATAACTTCACTTTATTTCCGAACAAACCTTTTCGAGAGTTACTTAATCTTTCTGAATTGTACATCGTACATGGTCAGTTAACAGTTTTACCAGAAGATCTATTTTATAATCTTCACAAATTGACAAAACTGGACTTAAGTCACAATAGAATTGAATCGATTCATCCACTCGTCTTTAGAAATCTCACTCGATTAGAATATTTATATTTACAATGGAATCGGATAAAGTATTTACCAAACGACATGCTGAAAGGTCTTTTTAACTTAAGGACATTTTCTATTACTAAGAACCGAGATTTGTCGGAAATACCATTCGGTTTCTTTAATAAACTGCACAACTTGACTGAATTTTCTGCATGGAGTTGTTCTATTTATTCACTCGAAGAACACGTGTTTTCTGACTTAATTAATTTGAACATCGTCGACTTAAATTCCAACAAAATTAAACATCTCCCGCCAAATCTTCTAAGAAATAACAAACGACTCGCACGATTTTTCTGTTCGTTTAATAAAATATCTTCACTTTCAATAGGAATTTTTCGTGGACTTTCTGAACTGCGATCGTTAACGTTGCGCGGAAACAGTTTAGAAAATCTTCGCGAAGATGTTTTTCAGAATTTGTCGTCATTGGAGAATCTCATTCTATCAGAAAATCGCCTGACGTGTTTACACGAAAACCTGTTCCTCCCGTTGACTAAATTAAAGCATCTCGATCTATCTAAGAACAATTTAACTAAAATTATTGGTGAACGTCCTTTTGGCATCAGCAAGCATCTGAATTATCTGAATTTATATAAGACAGGTTTGACACAATGGCCGGTGATAAATTGGACACAATACGCCTTGACTGACGTGATTTTATCAAATAATCATTTTGAAACAGTCAAGTTGCCAATTTACACTCCAAATCGCGTGAAAATTTATCTTTATAATTGTAAAATCAAAACAGTTTACATCGATGACAGGAAATATGGATTTCAAATGCCGACTTATTATCTTAGTTTTAATGAAATTACTTGTAATCACGAACTGCAGCAATTCGTTTTTGCCATTAAATCGAACATAGAAGTGGCAAAGAAAATGTTTTCAGATGTAGAGAAGACGAAATGTTACGGAGAAGAAAGAAATTTGCTGGATAATGCACCTTTCGTAGTCATAGGAAATTATTGTCCTGTAAATTGCGAATGTTCATTCGAACAAAATCACGTGATGGTTAATTGTTCCGGAAAGGGAATCGACAGAATTCCCCAAGTTCTCGTCCCGAATGCCACGATTGTCGACTTGAGTAATAATTATATAAACGATTTGTCAGATGTCGATTGTGTGACGTGGAGAAACGTCACCCACTTACGTCTGAGCAATAACTCCATAAGTAACATTTCGAATTATGTTCTTTTGCTAAACCTTAAATGGCTCTGGTTGGACGGAAACCGGTTAACCGAATTGCCTTCCGGATTAATGCACCTGATCGACATTTCTCCGGAATTTAAGCTTTACTTATCGAGAAACAATTGGAATTGCCGTTGTAATTCGCTTTTTACTAAGGACTGGTTACTTAGAAACAGGCAGAAAATTGCAGATTTTTCCGATGTTTTCTGCGCGAGAAATTCGTCTTCTGTGTCCTTTATCGATATTCTTTCTAATGACAGATGCGCAGAAATTCCGGAAGTAAATTTGTCATCTTCAGTAAAGGATTCTTTTCCGAACGAATATTGATTGGATGAAGTTAGTTCCGTTTCTGGATGGAAAATCGCAGTGGCTGTTCTTACTTCGCTAATGTTGTTATGTGTGGTTATTGTTGTTTCTATTGTTTATTGTCGCAGAAAAAGAAATGTCCAGAAAGTGCCAAAGACTAAGAAAGAAGAAGTGTTTTATTACAATGTTCACACTTGACAAATTTGCAAATACGACAATTCAAATATATCCAGTTTTATCAATTGTTTAGTACTTGCCAATAAATTGTTTTATTTTGCATTTGTTTTTATAGAAATGAATTTTGCTTATTTCAAATATGCTGTAACAAATGTTATTTTTATATGCTTGATTTCTGATTAAGTATTATATCATACAATGTGTAATAATTAGATAATAAAGCTGTTATTCAATCACAAAATCGATACTGAAATTCGACAATAAAACAATACCTTATATACAGAAAGTAGAGAAATGAATGTAACGATTTGTAATTCAAAAAGATTATTATTAAAATTTTTATTCTCTGTAAAAATCGTCGATATTTCGATAACAATTAGTATTTTTCTATGGAGAATTTCCGGCTATTCGTTTCGAGATTTGCTACTCTCAATTTGTTATTCCTCTATAATTCGTCTTACTTGTAAGCTGTTTATGGTATTTTATACTTTAAACAAATAAAGGAAGGAAGACTGCCTGCACTTTTCATTACAGCGTAAATATAATTACTGTAAGAGTGCAAAATATTTTTATAGGTAATTTTAGTGATTTTCTATAAAAAATTACATCGAAATATTTGATTATCCGGTGTTTATTATACAATGTTTGGATGTTCTGTTAGTTTTTGATGGCAAATGGGTTAGTTACATTTCGACATCACTTCTGTGTGTCCATGCAAACAGTGTTTAGTTACTTTCATATTGAAGTTTTCGTTTAGATAAAATATCTCAATGAAAGAGCCTTGGGAAAAAATAAGACCAGAAATAATAACAAAAGATAAATGCTATCGGTAAAAAACGTTGGTCAGAAGTTCATTGAAATAAAAACTGCAGCTTAGATCGTAGTCGGTAAAAGGCCATTTCCGCCTGGCAAAATCGACTTCGGCGGATAAAATGTTTATTTTCTACAGAAAAAGAAAAGTCTTTTACACCAAGCTTTTTACTCTTGACGGATTTTTTCGGGATCCTTTTCGACTCCCCTCCGTCGAGTTCTACCTCGTGCGACCGCCCGTCCACCGTTCAGTTCGGTTCAGTTTCGTCGTTATTTTTGTCCCATTTACTCGACCGTTTTAAACCGAAATAGCTAAACATACGTTTTGGGAGGAAATACACTTTTAATGAATTTATCTATACAAATAAACAATCTATTTCGCAACGGTAATTCTTGGATTAAAAAAATAATATGTTGATTTATGTCTACAATTTTCGTATTTTTCTTATATTTTTACTCTAAATATTACAAAAATAAAATATTTCATATAACAGGGCTATAGCCTATATCATTGTAATTGAGAATTAATTTCTTTCAAAATTTATCAATAACAGCAGTAAGTTGTTTTACGTGTCTGTCAGAAGCGGGAGACAAGTTGAGATAAAAATCGTATTGGCGGTGTACTTCATCTTCTGTCTCGAAATTTCTAATTCGTTTTAAATGGAAAAATAAATCACTCTCGAGAGGGATGTTTAGTCACTGAATAGATTTCATTATTCTTCGGACACCTTAATTAACAAAGGTTCAATTTTATTAATAGATTACGCAGAGTCACTCAAAAATTAGAACAAAATAGATAAAAAAAGAGATTCTATAATTCGAGTCTCTTCGTTATCAGTTCGAAGGATTATCATAGAATCGAAATATTTATTCGTCTTTATCATAAAGTACAGTACAAATTCATACACGAAATCCGTAGTGTTGGAAATTGCCGACGTATCGTGTACCGAATAAGGGAACGAGACTTACACTAGAAAAGGGAATTCTTCGGGCTAGAGAGCGTGTTATAAGCCCGAGCAGTGGTTAAGCGAGCAATGGCTGAACACGATTGTATTAATTCGACAATTTACAAGATAATTGACCTACTAAAGTTTTTATATTAGGAGTGAACATAAACCGGTTTACATTCGTTCTCCTAAACATTTATTTATAAACATTTCGACTTTAAATAATTAAAAACAAAATTGTCCTTTCTTAACTGCAGTGTTACGTCACAAATGCGGATGTAACCCGTACCGAGTGACGTTGCTTCCGCTTTCACTATACTCGTTCGAATGTCGAGTCGTAACTTACGGCGATCGATGTAATCTGTTTCGATGATGACGTATGTTTTTCTTAGCGATTGAAATTTTCTCGTTGTCTAACAATGTTTAGGTCTCTTTTGTGATGACGTACAATACACATACCAAAAAACTCTTCTACGTAATGAAGACAATCACTACTTACCGAAGGATCAGTCGTAAGGTGACGAATTATCTATTTATTTCTTTCAATGCCAACGATGGAATAAATAATTACCGATAGAAACTAAAGTTAACATTTAAGTCTGTAAATGACCGCATTTACTACAATCATTTCTTCGTGTTTTAAACTACTTTCGTTTTGCGTGTGGTTTTAAACTTTGTTTCTCCGTATTCTCTTTTATCACACTTCAACATCCTTTCTTTATACTTTCCGTTGTCAAGTTAATAAATTTTAGATGCAAACTTTCTCAATTTATTTAAGTTTCTTACTCGAAGATTAATTTATTTTTATTTTTCAAATATTCATAAATTAATAGACGGAGTTTCGCATTTACATTTCAAAAGAGGGCATTTTTATTTTCTTTTATGTTTGAAAAAAAATAAAAATAATCCGCAACAAATATTTTATCTTTCGTCATATTATTGAAATTTCACGTATCGAAAAACTTCCAATCGAACGAATACAATTTATATTTTTATTTTATGTTCATTTATGAAATTTTTATTATAATAATTTCACTGCAGTCAGAAACATTCTTTTGTATTACAAAACACAATTAATTAACACCATTAAAATACGTCTTAGAGAAAAAATAATAATATTTTAATTTACAACATCAATTTGTTTTAACGAAAAATTTCTGTGTAATAAATGCGCAAACCAATTTTCGGAAAATATTAATTTAACGTTAATCCGATATTGTTCCTTCCAATGCAACGGAAATAAACGAGGAAATTAAAAACTGTATACGTAATATTTTTGTCGGAAATGACGATTCGATGTCTATGACGTCATAATTTATCGTGTTTTCAGTCAGTCTGAAGAAAGAAGTAACAGTATCGAATTCGTAAGTACACGGTTTCACAATTTTGTATTGTTCGTCGACTGTTTTTGCCGCTCTTCGTGTCGAATGAATTAGAATTTTCGTCGGACAAAATGAGGTTTGTTATCGTTTTGCAGTTGCTATTTTTCGTGGTAAATTCTTGTCAAGAGTTTTGGAAAAGTTGGGAAAATGTTTCTTGTACGTCATGGGGAGACAGCTGCTACGAATCAAAGAACTTTTCATCTGTTAAAATATTCGAACAATCCTTAATAATCACGTGCGACGACAAGGACACAATTGACAATCGTTTGATGCGATGCTTGGACGTTAGAAATGTACAACAGATAGTATTTAGAGATTGTTCTTTGTCCGGAATTGACTTTGGAATATTCTCGTTTGGATGTGAAATCGAACACGTCAAGATACTTTACTTATTAAATAAAAGAAATTTCGAGAGCGCCTCGTTTATTAACATGTCTTCTCTGCGATCTGTCGAAATAGAAGCCTTAAAGACGTCGGAACTTCTAAATTTGACATTTCGCAATGTTCCATCGCTGACTTCATTGAAAATTGACAGCTATAACTTCACTTTATTTCCCAACAAATCTTTCCAAGAGTTAATTAATCTTTCCAAATTGTACATCATACATGGTCGGTTAACAGTTTTATCGGAAGATCTATTTTATAACCTTCACAATTTGAAAAAACTGGACTTAAGTAACAATAACATTCAATCGATTCATCCACTTGTCTTTAGAAACCTCACTCGATTGGAATATTTGGATTTAGATTGGAATCGGATAAAGGATTTACCCAATGACATGTTGAAAGGTCTTTTTAACTTAAGGACATTTTCTATTCTTGGGAATCGTAGATTGTCACAAATTCCGTCCGGATTCTTTAAGAAACTGCACAACTTGACGGAAATAAATGCAGCCTCTTGTTCAATTTCTTCACTGGAAGAAGATGTATTTTCTGATTTAATTAATTTGAAAGACGTCGATTTAGTTTTCAGCCAAATTGAACATCTCCCTCCAAATCTTTTCAGAAATAATAAACTCCTGACACGATTTTCCTGTTCGTATAATAAATTATCGAGACTTCCAACAAAAATTTTTCACGGACTTTATGAACTGCGAGAGTTAGACTTGCGGGGAAATCGGTTTGAAAATCTCCCCGAAGATGTTTTTCAGAATTTGTCGTTATTGCAAAGACTCGAGTTATCACAAAATCGCCTAACTTTTTTACACGAAAACATCTTCCTCCCGTTGACTAATTTAATGTTTCTCGATCTATCTAACAACAATTTAACTAAACTCACTGGTAAGAGTCCTTTTGGCAGCAGCAAACATCTAAATTATCTTCGTTTAAACAATGCAGGTTTGACACAATGGCCGATGTTAGATTGGACAGAATACGACTTGGCTTACGTCGATTTCTCAAATAATCAATTTGAAACTGTCAAATTGCCAATTTACACACCAAATCGCATATTAATTAAACTGTCAAAATGTAAAATCAGAACAATTTACATCGATGACAGGAAATATGGATTTCAAATGCCGACTTACGATTTAAGTAATAATGAAATTACTTGTGATCACAAACTGCAGCAATTTGTTTATGCCATTAAGTCAAATATAGAAGTGGCGAAGAAAATGTTTCCAAATATAGAGAAGACGAAATGTTACGGAGAAGAAAAAAATTTGCTGGATAATACATCGCTCGTAGTCATAGGAAATTATTGTCCGATGAATTGCGATTGTTTTGGCCAACAAGATCACGTGATGGTAAATTGTTCTATAAAAAAAATCGAGACAATTCCCGAAGTTCTCGTTTCGAATGCAACGATTGTGGACTTGAGTAATAACTACATAAAAGAGTTGTCAAATGTCGATTGTGTGACTTGGAAAAACGTTACGCATCTACATCTGAGTAATAATTCAATAAGTAACATTTCGAATTATGTTCTTTTGCCAAACCTGAAATACCTAAGGTTGGAAGGAAACCGGTTAACCGAATTACCTTCCGGTTTAATGAACCTGATCGACGTTTCTCCGGAATTTAAGATTTACTTATCGAGAAACAATTGGACTTGCGATTGTCATTCCCAATTTACTAACGACTGGTTGCTTAGAAACAGTCAGAAGATTGCAGATTTTTCCGATGTTTACTGCACCAGAAATTCGTCTTCTCTGTCTTTCACCGAAATAGTTTCTAATGATCGAAGCAAAGATATTCCAGAAGATAATTAATTTGGCATCGTCAGTAAATTTTTCGAGTACAAAATGCGTGTCTTCCGACGAAGTAAGTTCTGTTTTAAAATAGAAAATCGTAGTGGCTATTCTTACTTCGCTAATGTTATTGAGTGTGGTTATTGTTGTTTCTATTGTTTATTGTCGCAGAAAAAGAAATGTCAAGAAAGTGCCAAACACTACAGAAAAAGAAGTGATTTATTACAATGTTTACACTTGACGAATTTGCAAATACGACAATTCAAATATATCCAGTTTTATCAATTTAATTAGGACTTGCCAAAAAATTTTTACTATTTTGCATTTGTTTTTATAGAAAGGAATTTGGCTCATTTTAAATATGCTGTAATAAATGTTACTTTTATATGCTTATGTGGTAAATTTTGATTAAGTTTTATATTAAAAACTGTTATTTAATTACAAAGTCAATACTGAAATTGAGGGTCTGTTCGTTTCTCACAATTTTATTTTAAAATTGTCAACGTAGACTTATCAGTTGAATAAGACTATTACACAGGTGTTTTGGCTATTAACAAAAGGAAAAGTTTTTGATTAGCCCTTCATCGGTGCTATTTAAAAAACAACATTACAATAAATCATGACGTAATATTAAAACAAGTCATAATGTATAACATAGTGTAAATTGCACGATTACTTACAAATGAGAAAACACAAAAAATATTCAATCCTCCGGTATACAACTTCAAATACGCGGAGTATAAGTAAAGCGAAAAATTAACACAACATCGTACTTATTACACAGTACTTATAAATATATAGTACCTCTACATCTCTATTAATCTAAGTATGATAATATTTTATTGGTTTATCTTTAAATAAGAAAATGGTAAAATACTTTATTCATATTTTACAATGAGAATAAGTATTAACTTGTTTTCTTCCTCCATACAGGAGCACCAAAATATTAACAGATGTAATCGAACTTGCGAGGTTGAAGCGCACTATAAGTGTCACATTACTACAAATTAATTAATTATACAAATATAATTAATTTTTATATTATATTCAACATTACTATTTTTACAACCGTTCAGAAAGTACAAGTTTATAAATAAAAGTTTATAAAACTGAGATTAAAGCGTACGTATAATGCAACCAGTAAAAATACAACGTAATACAATTAGTTAAACAGTCGAACAAATTATATTCGTATTTATTAAACTGAATGTAATGAATAACCCTGTATTATTTCATACAATCTAGTATCGATGGTCCTGCCAGGTGATATAATTACAATTATATTTACAATATTTTTAAATTTCTACGTGCTCTTTAAATTTACGTTTTTAAGTATCTTTTTATTCTTATTAACTCGACAGTTATTAATAATTGAATGTGTATACCATGGTGATTGATTATACTTCAGGGGTATCGCCTCTTCATGTTATATCTATTAGTTAAATATTATGTATGTCATTTAATTAACTGTCAAAATGTTAAACTTTTTCTCCGTATGTCATCGAAACGAAGGGCAAGTGTTTAAATTAGCACGTAGATAAGACCAAAAATTTTTCAGAAAACAACACGCGTTACTTCTATATTTGTTCAAAATAGACTTGTAAAATGTCTTCAGATTTTATAAATGCTAACTATAATTAAAACACAAAGTATCATGAAAAAGGAAAAAAAATTAAAGGCACAAACAGAAAGATAATATCGAAATAATATGAAAAGTTAGCAAAAAGAGATTAGAAAAAGAAAGTCATAACTATTTTAAACGAGGAAATTCTAAAAACATTTAATAAATAAGTCGTCTTTCATATGATGCTTCCAACTTTATGTAAAACCGGAATTTCTACTGATTTTTTTCCCGTCAATGTCCCGTTATTACCTAAAGAAGAATTAAATTTCCAAAGAAACAACAGCGCTAGTGTTGAAAAGCAACTTGAAAAAAAGGAGAAATTTTAATCTCTCCTTTTTTTCTACATTCGCCCATCTCGACAACTATTCCCACACTACAAAACTTAAAGTTTATAGTTACCATACGATTTCGTCATTTTATTTGGGTTCCGGGGATAACTCTGACCTCCTTCTCAACTAGTTAGTCACGTGACAGTTTTCCCACCTCAAAAACAATAAAAGCCACTTTTCTCCCCCTCGGGAGAAAGTCGCTTATCGACAGTAAACGTGCCGTATAACCGAGAATTAAGCTTTAACTTTGTGCCCAGATCCAATCATCTACGTCTCAGTGGATTACTTTGCTCTCTCGGATAGCCAAATTTATAAAAACGTATGAAACCCACTTTTGTAAACTTTCTCTCGTCCCGTAACGCTTTAAGGCAGGGGTGTCCAACCCGCGGCTCGCGGGCTGCATGCGGCCCAAGGCAAGTTCTAATGCGGCCCAATAAACGTGTAAACAAAACCGACAAAATGTTTTAATTATTTTATTATCTATTTCAAGGGCATAAACTCAAATAAGAAGTTTCACAAAGCCGTAAACCTTTATTCGTATTTTATTCTTGAGTGGAAAGGAAATATTTTCAAATACTTGAAAATGTGTGAATGAGGAAGGATTACTAAATAAAGCTGGAGTCAAAACTCAAAGGATTATAGATCCAAATTTGGGAAAAAGAGGGAAAGATCAGAAAAACAAAAGATGTAGTAGTGAGAAAGGTTAAATAGATCTTCTGTCAAGTAAATACGGACCCGTAATTTTTCAACCTTTTTCACTTCTTTATCTTTTGTCCTTTGTCTCTTTTTCCTGCACTTGGGTCTATAATCCTTTGATTCACAACTCCAGCTTTATTTAGTATTTTCTCCAACGTTGCAAGATTTGGCTACATTGCGCCAGATGTGGCTACTTTTTTTTGTTTGAGGTAAAAAATATCATTTGGCGATTTGGCTACTTTTGGGCTACATATTATTTATATTAGTTGAATAAAAATGCACTTTAAAATGGTATTTCGTTGCTTTTTATTAATTAGAGACAAATAAAACAAATATTTGTGTTTTTCAAATAAATTTTTGTCTCCTTTATAATAAATGAATTTATCTATTTCTAAGTAGAAATTCAAAGTGTCTGTAGAAGTAATTTTTAAAATATCCTTTTTCTTGATAAAGTTTTAGTACTTTTTATTATAATCTAGACATGTTAATCCTTAAATATACTTGTATATTGAACCACAAATATATATTATATGTACAGTACTTGTGGCCAGTGGCGTAGCGTGGGTGTCAGCCGCCCGGGGTGGAAGAAAATTTCATCTCCTCCTTATTTAGGTATCTCAATTTAAAAGACTAAAATTCAGCTTCGTCACAGAATAAGTAATGAAAAATTCCGTGCTAGTGTTGCCACCTTTTTAAAATCGCAGACCTGGACGGCAGGTGAGGTTTGTTCGAACAGAAGTTCCTGACGTATGAGTATATCATTTTGCAATGCTAAGATTAATTTGCAGTGCATGCTGGTTCTAAATCAGTTACAGTTAGCGACTAGGGAAACTTGGATAGGAGTAACGCAAGTGACCTAGCTCTATTGGATATTGGAGGTGTATATGATTACAAATGAATCTCACAATCAAAGAAAAAAAAACAAAAATAAAAAAAGGTCAACAGGTTGCGCACGATATCCCCGGACGGCGAGTCGATTCGCGGATTATCCGGATGGATGGTAATTCTATTGCTGTGCTCATTTCAATCAGTCCGAGTCGTAGGTGGACGAAAATATGAAATAAAATGGTTCAAATTCTTACAAGATATTATTATTATTTATTGTGAAATTTTGCCGCACCCTAAAAAGTGCCGCCCCCCTACGCTACGCTACTGCTGGTGGCCCTAAACTCCTTGACATCTTCCAATGCGGCCCACAGAAACAAAAAGGTTGGACACCCCTGCTTTAAGGACTGAAATTTTTCACTCGAAATTTTTCGATGATAGTTTATTGTACCGTCTATGTAGGTAACTAATGAATCGTTGTATTCTGATTAATTGGTGTCCTCCTTTACTCGTATATCGCCTGTCGCATTACCGACCTCACCCCTCGCTCCTATGCCCGACCCGAAAAATTTAATGAACTTAAGCCATCTCTGACTAGTGGGCAAGTCCCTCCGACTTGAAAGACGATCCAAGAAGGTATAATGTAGTTATACCCCCCTCAAATCCCACATTTATGTTGCATATTAAAATATACAATCGACAATCTATGAATTCTGAAATCTTCAGAATTTAAGAACAGTCAACTTGATGCACAAGCGTTCGTCGCTGTATAAGTGATATAAAATGGACGTAAGAAAGCTCTAATGACGAGTGTGTAGTATATGCATACTGTATAAACTGCTAGATGT